TTTGGGATATTTTATTTATAACTTTTAAAAGACTCCTCTGTGAAGAAAGATTACTTGTAGGCTGGAAAACCATTTGACAGTTAAAGGACAGAACTCTAATATTAGTCTAACAAAAAAGGGGGAAAAAGACTGAAAGTTTACTAGAACCCTTTTCTAGGGATTTAGAACACATCTTTCTATTTCTTTCTTTATTTTCACTTAATTTTATCTTTTAATTCCCTAGTGTTCTGCTTAATCCTTCTAGATGCTGTGTATGCAGAATACTGACAGTTTCCGCAAAAGGCAGTTAGTCAGTCATTACAGTAAACACACATATTATGTGGATGGAGGGCTACTAGTCAAGGGAAATGGAGTTGGCGTATTGAGGCTTTACCCTTCATATCGTAAGTCAAAATGTATCTGTTTTTACAATGGAGTCGTTAATATTTGTTAGCTAGTTACTGGTGAATAGGTCCGCAAGTTCACCTTGCTACAGCTTGAGACTCTTTTCTGCCTATCAGGTGTTCACAGGATATAAGCTACATCAGTTAACGCTGGGTGCTGTGCAAATTTTAGAAGTCACGGTAAAGAGACAGGCTTGCTGCAAATTGATAAGGTAGGGACTTAATAAGAGGAGCCAATACTAATGGAACACTTGCATGCATCTAGAATATTTAAAAGTGTCTCTATGTATTGATGTATTGACTGTCTAATCCGCACAGCTCTATGAATAGGTGATATTATTATCTTTGCTGTACAGATGGGAAACGGAGGCCTGCAAATGTAAAGTAACTTGTCCAAGGCAACACAAGAAATGGAGAAGCTGGATTTGAATCCAGGGAGTCTGGTTCTGTAGCCTATTCTATTAGAGAGTTTCTGGAAGTTTATTAACTCTTGATATTGTACGGTTTGGGAGCTTTTACTCTCTGGTGATGTTGCCTGAGTGGCGTCCTGAGAAGTAGGAGCTTGCTGTGACTCCCCTCGTTCCCTTTTCTTTTGTCCTCCATTACTTGCTGAGGCCCATTAATTCTAGACAACATCTCTCAAATTTGTCCCATCTTTTCCTATCACACTGCTGCTACCTTAGTTCAGGCATCTTTGGGACATAGCAGCAATCTCCGGATGTCCCTCCTGTCTCCATTCTACGTGTCTCCCTGTCCACCCCCGCAACTGATTATCTGCATTGATCCTATAGTAAATCTTTATAAGAAACCAATCTGATCAGGTCCTTCACAGGATTAAAGGTAAAATAATACCTAGTTATAGGCATATATCACATTTTACTCATCCATTCTATCAGTTGACAGAAGTCTGGGTAGCTTCTACTTTTTGGCTATTACGAATAACGTTGTTATGAACATTCATGTAAAAGGTTTTGCGTGGACATAGGTTTTCATTTCTCCTGGATATATACCTAGGAGTGGAGTTGCTGGGTCAAATGTTTTTTTTTTGAGGAACTGCCAGACTGTTTTCCAAAGCAGCTGTCCCATTTTACATTCCCACCAGCAGTGTATAAGGTTTCTAATTACCCCACGTTCTTGCCAACATGTTATTTTCCTTTTTATTTTATTTGATACTTGCCATTGATACTAATACTAATGGATGTAAAGTGGTATGTCACAGTATCTTTGATTTGCATTTCCATGATGGCTAAGGATGTTGAGCACCTTTTTATGTGCTTTTTGGCCATCTGTATATCTTCTCTCGAGAAATGTTTATTCAGATCTCATTTTTAAAAACTGAGTAATGAGAGTTCTTTATATATTCTAGATACAAGCCCCATATCAGATATATGATTTACAAATACTCTCTTCCCTTTTGTGGAACTGTCTTTTCACTTTCTTGATAGTGTCTTTTGCTTTTTTCCTTGTTTTTTGGCTATGCAGTGTGGCATGTGGGATCTTAGTTCCTGGACCAGGGATCAAACCCGTGCCCCCTGCAGTGGAAGCATGGTGTCTTAACCACTGGACCACCAGGGAAGTCCCTTGATAGTGTCTTTTGAAGCATAAAAGTTTTTAATTTTGATGAATCTCCAAATACCTATTTTTTCCTTTTGTCTTGTCCCATGTGCTTTTGCTGTCATATTTTAGAAGCCATCGCTCAGCCAAAAGTCATAAAGATTTACCCCTAAATAGAATTATATAGTTCTAAATATAGTACTTAGGCTTGTGATCTATTTGGAGTTTTTCTTTGTGTGTGTATGGTGGCAGGAGGGGGTCCAACTTCATTTTTCTGCATGCAGGTATCCAGTTGTTCCAGTGCTATTTGTTGAAAAGACTAATTTCCCCCACTGAATTGTTTTGGCACGTCTTAAGAAAAATATCTGACCATAAATGTAAAGGTTTATTTATGGATTCTCAGTTCTGTTTGATCTATCCATCTATTACTGTAGCTTTTAGTAAGTTCTGAAATTGGGACGTATGAATTTTCCAATTTTTTTCCTCTTTTGAAAGGTAGTTTTGCCTATTCTGGATCCTTTGCATTTCCATATGAATTTTAGGATCTGAAACATTTCTGAAAAAAATGCAGCTGTTATTTTGATATCGACTGAATTGAATATGGAGATCAATTTGGGAAGTACTGTCATCTTAAGTCATCTAATCCATAAATGTGGGATGTCTTTTACATTTATGTTGGTATTCTCTAATTTTTCAATGTTTTGTAGTTTACATTCTATAAGAATTGAGGAACACTTTTGCCTAAGCTGTGGGACTGTATTTTATTTTGGTATCTGTTTTTCTAAATTATATACTCAAGCATCATATATTGTTTATATAGTAAAAAGTTATGCCATAAGGAGAACACTGTTAGTATTACTATGGATTGCTAAATCATGAATTAGGATATATAGTAAGGTCCCCCATTTTTAATTCCTGAACTTGGTTAGTTATGCCTTTCTTAGAGAATTGGAATCTCTCCCACAAGGACCCACCACTCCAGGACCCACTGTCACATTGATTCACACTCCCAGGAGGACTCTCTCTGAGATGGGGAGACAGAAAGGTACTTCTGAGGAGGTGGTGGTGGCCTTGGGGCCTTTACACGCTCACCTGTGGTCTGGCAGTGGATCACCAGGATGTTGGCCATCTCAGCAAACTTAACACTGGAGGGGTTCTTTTTAATTTCCTTCAAGAATTCTCCAAGGACCACCTCACACCTACCAATGAGCAAAGGAGAAAGGAGACAGCTCATGCAGCCAGAGCCAGAGGAGCCTCCACCAGTGGTGCCATTTCTGCTGTGCTCTGTGGGACACACTTGTCAGATGGACATTTTTCCGAGGCTGGGGGTGGATGATCTCCTAGCTCCTCAAAGCAGGAAGCACACGAGCCAGGAAGAGGACGGTGAGTTTCGTGCTCTCCTGCCGCCGCCTGTCTGTTGGGTGTGGGGTACGCGTACATGCCGAGGGGCCCCTGCAGCCGCCTGCCCCTCTCCTCCTCCACTCACGTTTTCCGAATCTCTTTGCCGTTGTCGCCCAGGATCTGGAAGAGTCCATCCAGGATCTCCGGCAAATAATCCAGCAGGTTAATGTCTGGCACGGACTCCAGAACCAGGATCTGCCCCAGGGGAGGAAACCATCAGGGAAAGTCACCAGCCAGAGAACCTGCATCTCCTCGCCCATCCTCCGGACTGCCCAGCAAGAAGGGGCCCTGCTGAGGCACCTTTTCAGGGCACTGCGGGTGTCCCACGGGGGAGCGGGTGCTAGTAGCTGTTGTTTCTGTTCAATGGGCAGGGAAACGGCAATTTAACCCCAGGGCAGTTCAGATGCCTGGGGGCGGGGCAGGGGGTGCGGGAGGGGAACCCATGGGAAAGGTGGGCAAGGCTAGAAGAGGTGTGACAGCTGGAAGAGCACAGCTGGCTTCAAAGGTAAATCTGGGTGTTTCCGGAGACAAGGAAGGAACCACATCCTCTTCAGAGGCAAACGTGATGGGCTTTGGGGGCAAAGCTGAATACATGTGTTTTCGGATTATCTGGTGTCATTGGCTCCTAGAGGGATAACAGTGAGGCATCCCGGCAGCCACAGAAAGTGCCCAGGTGAGCCAGAGAGCAGACCTCACTCAACTAGAGGCTCCTTACAGCTGGAGAAGGAGTGTCGCGGGGCCGGACCTTACCCAGGAGATGATGAACTGCCGGGCATACTGGTTGTTGGAATAAATCCTCTCCCGCAACAAGGGGATGAAGCCCACCAGGTCGAACTTGTTGCTCTCCGTCACGATGTCCTGTGGGTCAAAGGCATGAGAGCTGCCTGCTGGGGGCGGGGGCTGCCTGACCTGGCTGAATCCCTGGCCCGGGCTGGCTCCAGGGGTCAGGCGGACACAGAGGAAGATGACGGAGCCTGAGTCAGGCAGGAGAGGCCCCCGGAGCATCCCTCCTCACACAGGCCGAAGGACCAGCAGAAAGGATGCACTGAAAGCAGGAATCAAGGTCGAGAGAACTAATCAAAAGGCAAAACCCTGCATCTCTGTGGTCTGGCTCGAATGCCCTGGTGAGCTGAGCATAAACTGCCCCTGTCACTGGGGGCAGGGTGGGGTCAGCATGAGGGGACATTAGGGGGACAGAATGGTTCTGTATTTTGATCCTGCTGTTGACATAACTCTATACTCTCATCATATACTCTCATCATAGAGCTGTACACTATTCCATTAACTGTAAGTGAAACATTTTTTTTAAATTACCAAGAGCATCAAGACCCAGGGTGCAAGGCCGCAGAGCCAGCCTTGAGGTCTGAGATGTGGAGAGAATGGCAATAAAGAAATCACAAGTCTGCAACACCCTGCTGGGGCTCAGGGGTCAGGGTCAAGGTCCTGGCTGATGTGTACGTCCATCCAGGAGAAGGGCTCACCTTGCCCAGCGCGATGGAGCAGGCGGCCAGGCCAATGAGGCCCCCTTTCCGGCCGTGGGGGGTGCTGGGACAGGGCAAATTCCCGAGACAGCGTCTGGATCATGTTCTTGATCTGCACGGTGTTGTTCTGGGCCACGAACTCCCGGACCAGCCTGGAGAGGGAGCAGAGAGGGGCTGCAGGACCAGCGGGATCAGGCTGCTCCTGCTGCTGCCGGCTCTGGGGCCCGGGGCTGGGGTGAGGGAGGGAGATGACCTGTTTAGAAAGAGGAATTGGGAGTCAGGCGTCTCAGGGCAGGGCTTTCCCAGTTCTGCTGCTGACTGGGAGGCGTTGGCTGGGTCATGGTCCTTCCCCTTTTCTGGGTCTCCACTTCCCTTGGTCTATGACGGAATGAAGAACAGCGGGGAACAGTGTCACTTCTGGGAATCTGAGAGAATGCAAGTGAATGTCCTGCTGGGGCCCCAAAACTGTAGTGATCCACCGTCTTCATTCAATACTTGCTCAGTGTTGCAAGCAGTTCATGCACCCAAGTGGTTCTCTGTGTCTGTGTCATTGTTTCTAGGGACGGTGCTGAACTGGGCCTACATCCAACAGGGAAGATCCACAAACAAACAAGTATGTGTAGCAACATGACACAAGCAACACCACAGAAGCAAGAACGCCGCAGGTAAGTCTCCCTGGGCTGACGGGGAAGTGCTATCTGAGTCAGATCTTAGTACCATTACCAGGACTTTTCCAGGTAAAGAAAGGAAGGCAGGGAACCTCAGGCACAGGGAAGAGCCTGGCTAAAGGCGGGGGCCCCGAAAAGACACGCTATATTTAGGGAAGGGTGAGGAGTCTGGTGTGTGGAAGGGGTGGCTGGGGACAGTTAAAGAAAAAGACGAGCTGGTGAAAGGTTTCCAGCAATGGGGTGACATACTTATGTCTATGTTTTGACCAGAGAGGCTGCCTCGGGTGGGGGTGGCCTGGTTTGACAGAGGGAGACTGCAATATCTCCAAGGGAGAACACTGCAGCTATCAGGGTCAGGAAGGGAGGCCTGAAATACAGCTGAGGCAGTGGGAAGCGGCAGGGAGAGGGCAGGAAGGGTAGAGATGCCTGCAAGGTGCCCACCTGGGGGGTGATGCTAGCAGGGAGAGGGGTCTGAGGGAGGCAGCGCCTGTGGTCACCCTGGGGGGATGCTCCCAAGGCAGGCCCTGCCCGAGTGGAGGGGAGCACAGGGAGACCCAGCTCTGTCAGGCACCAGGGTCTCCTTTCAGAGCCCAGTGGACGTGAAGACACCCTGCCCTTCGGAGGCTCACAGCATCTCTGCAGTGAGAAGCCTCATGAGGGCCAATGGTGGCATGAGGGGCCCAGATAACCACTGGGGAGCTGCAGCCTGGGGGTCAGGGACATCTTCCCAGGAGTGGGAACTGAGCTGGACCTCAGAGGAGGCAGGGACCCTGAGAGAAGGAGGCAGGGACCCTGAGAGAAGGAAGCAGGTGTTCTGGGCAGGAGGAAATGTGTGGGCAAAGGCAAGGAGAGAAAAATAACCAAATTTGCCTGGGGTCCAGAGAACAGCAGGAAATCAAGTGGGATGAGCTGGCCCAAGCAGCTCAGATTCAGGAGAAGGGATCTCACATCGTGGGTAACAGGGAAGCTGCTCATGGGTTTTGAAGAGGTGGTCAGAGTGTTTTAAGAAAAACCCCATGATCATCTCATTAGGTGCAGAAAAAGCTTTTGGCAAAATTCAACACCCACTTATGATAAAAGTTCTCCAGGAAGTGGGCACAGAAGGAACCCACCTCAACATAATAACATCATTCTCAGTGGTGAACAATTGAAAGCATTTCCTCTAAGATCAGGAACAAGACAAGGATGTCCACTCTCACCACTATTATTCCACAGTTTTGGGAGTCCTGGCCATGGCAATCAGAGAAGAAAAAGAAACAAAGGAATACAAATTGGAAAAGAAGAAGTGTTTGTAGATGGCATTATACTATACCTAGAAAATCTTAAAGATGCCACCAGAAAACTATGAGAACAAATCAATGAATCTGGTAAAGTTGCAGGATACAAAATGAATATACAGAAATCTCTTGCATTCCTATACACTAACAATGAAAGATTAGAAAGAGAAATTAAGGAAACAGTCCCATTTACCATCACAACAAGAATAAAATACCTATGAATAAACCTACCTAAGGAGGCAAAAGATCTGTACTCAGAAAACTATAAAACACTGATGAAAGAAATCAAAGATGACACAAACAGATGAAGAAATATATCATGTTCTTGGATTGGAAGAATCAATATTGTGAAAATAACTATACTATGCAAAGCACTCTGTAGGGTCAATGCAATCCCTATCAAATTACCAATGGCATTTTTCACAGAATAAGAAAATATTTTACAATTCGTATGGAAACACAAAAGACCCTGAATAGCCAAAGCAATCTTAAGAAAGAAAAACAGAGCTGGAGGAATCAGGCTTCCAGACCTCAAACTATACTACAAAGCTACAGTAATCAAGAGAGTATGGTACTGGCACAAAAACAGAAATGTAGATCAATGGTACAGGATAGAAAGCCCAGAGATAAAGCCATGCACCTATGGTCACCTAATCTATGACAAAGGAGGCAAGAATATACAAAGGAGAAAACACAGCCTCTTCAATAAGTGGTGCTGGGCAAACTGGACAACTACCAGTAAAAGAATGAAATGATAACATTCCCTAACACCATACACAAACTCAAAATGGATTAAAGACCTAAATGTAAGACTGGACACTATGAAACTCTAGGAGGAAAACAAAGGCAGAACATTATCTGATATAAATCACAGCAGGATTTTTTTTTTTTTTTGTTTTGCGGTACACAGGCCTCTCACTGCTGTGGCCTCTCCTGCTGCTCCAAACACGCAGGCCCAGCAGCCACAGCCCACGGGCCCAGCCGCAGGACCCTCCCGGATCGGGGCACGAACCTGTGTCCCATGCATCGGCAGGTGGACTCTCAACCACTGTGCCACCAGGGAAGCCCCAGCAAGGTCTTTTTTGATCCACCTCCTAGAGTAATGTAAATAAAGACAAAAATAAACAAATGGGAACTAATTAAAAGCTTCTGCACAGCGAAGGAAACCATAAACAAGACGAAAAGACAATCCTCAGAATGGGAGAAAATATTTGCAAACAAAGTAACTGACAAAGGATTAATCTCCAAAACGTATAAACAGCTCATGCAGCTCAATATCAAAAAAACAACCCAAGCAAAAAATGGGTGGAAGACCTAAATAGACATTTCTCCAAAGAAGACATACATATGGCGAAGAGACACATGAAAAGATGCTCAACATCACTAATTATTAGAGAAATGCAAATCAAAACTGCAATGAGGTATCACCTCACACCAGTCAGAATGGCCATTATCAAAAGATCTACAAACAATGCTGGAGAGGGTGTGGAGAAAAGGGAACCCTCTCACACTGTTGGTGGGAATGTAAATTGATACAGCCACTATGGAAAACAGTATGGAGGTTCCTTAAAAAACTAAAAATAGAAATACCATATGACCCAGCAGTCCCACTACTGGGCATGTACCCTGAAAAGAGCATAATTCAAAAAGATACATGTACCCCAATGTTCATTGCAGCACTATTTACAATAGCCAGGACATGAAAACAACCTAAAGATCCATCTGCAGAAGAATTGATAAAGATGTGGTACATATATACAATGGAATATTACTCAGCCATAAAAAGGAACGAAATTGGGTCATGTGTAGACACGTGGATGGACCTAGACTCTGTCACACAGAGTGAAGTCAGAAAAACAAAACCAAATATTAATGCATATATGTGGAATCTAGAAAAATGGCACAGATGAACCTATTTGCAGGGCCGGAATAGAGACGGAGATGTAGAGAATGGACATGTGGACGTAGTGGGGGAAGGGGAGGGTGGGATAAATTGGGAGATAAGGTTTGACATAAATACACTACCATGTGTAAAATAGCTAGTGGGAACCTGCTGTATAGCACAGGGAGCTCGGCGGGGTGCTGGGTGGGGACGGGGAGGGGGGGGGGGGGGGGGGGGGGGGAGGGAGAGCCAAGAAGGAGGGGATATAGGTATACATACAGCTGATTCACTTCATTGTACAGAAGAAACTAACAAACATTGTAAAGCAATTATACTCCAAAAAAAAAAAAGCTGTGAGATGGATGCGAAGGGGGAGACTGTCTCATCATCGGGTGGGAGGGACTAGGACCCATGCAGCAGCTGAAGGTGTGACGAGGGAGGCCTAGAGATCACAGACTTTTCAAAGTAGTTGCCTGGACTCATTGCCTAATTGCTCTGCCCATCACAGCAGGTACACTGCTCGCCTATGGCATAAATGGGGGTCTCAAGCTGGCTCAAAGAATTTTAAGGACAGTCAAGTCCAAAAGGTATTAATTAGTTTGTGCGGTTCCAGATCAGTGTCAGGAACCTGCTAGTAATTAGCGTTGTTTAACTAAATGTGCTGTCCTGTGAGGCTGTGACCACTCCTGTAAAAAGGCTGTTCAATGGGGATTACAGGGCTTGATAAAGATTCAATCCCGCAAGTCGTAGGGGGCATCTATTCTGTGCCTGGGGCTGTGGCCACAGGTGAATCAAACAGGCCTGACTCCTGAGCTGGCGGATGTGGGAGCAGAAACAGGGATTCCAGGAAGGGGCTATGCAGGTGGTCTGTGAGGGCCCTCTTGCTTTGATCTTTATAGGGTGTGATTCCACCAAGCCCACCCCAGGGGGCTGAGGGCTGTGGATGAACCAAGGGCCTCGGGAGGAAGCCAGTTCCATGAGCGCCCCCTCCCTAAGCAGTGTAATAAGGCACAGCACGGATGGCTCTACAGAAACCCGCGGTATTCTCAGACAGAACAAACCAGCCAGACGACGCCCAGTGATGTGTCAGAGCTCTCTGACTATCATGACAGACACGGCCTCTTGAGAAAAGCCCTGCAGGTGTGCCAGAGAACAGCCAGAGCATTGGTGGTTCAGTGGTAGAATTCTCGCCTGCCACGCGGGAGGCCCGGGTTCGATTCCCGGCCAATGCAGTGCTGCTTTTTGGCCTCTTCCTGGCAAGCTCCCCCAGAGATCCTGCTGCAGGATCCAGCTCCTCAGTCACGCCCAGCCTGCAGCAGCCAAGGGTGCTGCGAATCTCCGAGCGCACTTCCCTGCTTCGTGAGCACGAACAGCAGCTGGCTTCTCCACAGAGGCACCACTGGCTGCGGGACCCTTCCCCCGGTAAGGGGACTCCTGCTGCACCCCCTCAGCCTTGGCCAGTCTCCAGCAGGAAGCTGTGCTGAAGCCTGTGAGCTGTAAAACAGCTCAACACACCACGTGAATGTGGAATGGGAGGACCCACACTTGAGAGAGGAGGAAGTCCCCAGAGTCTCAGTGGGCTTTTTGCTACTGAGAAGGAACGACTTGAACTCTACTTCCTGTCCTGACGTCTGAAGGCAAATCAACTTCTCACGCACACACGTAACGCACACACATACACACATGCGCGCTTGTGCGCGCACACACACAGCCTCCTCCAGCCTTCTCTCCTGCTCTGAAGCCTAAGCCTCTGCCGTTGCAGCTGTGCTGATGTGGCCTTCCATTCTGTGAATCAGTGTACAGACAAGACGACTGGGGTTAAAGGGAGGTGCTCACACAGCTGTTCACAGCTGGAGCACTGGTGGTTCAGTGGTAGAATTCTCGCCTGCCACGCGGGAGGCCTGGGTTCGATTCCCAGCCAATGCAGCAGCAAACTTTTTTCTTTTATCATCCTAAGAGACTGGGTTTGACATTTCACACTCCCTACAGCATTGGTGATACAGTCTGAAAAACCTAGAATGACTTTTTTCTAGCCTGAGTTTTCCACGCCTGTTTCCTAACCACAGAGACCTAGATCTTGTGTCCCCTTGTTCTTGAGGAGTCCAGGATGTGGGGATCACCAAAGCTGCTGCAAGCAGCTGTGCCTCCCCTCCTGCCCGGGGACTCTGACTGCGATGCCCCTGGGGAAGCCAGGCCGTGTGTGTTTCTGCTCTGTCGGTGTTAGAGTAGCCCTGAGAGTGGGAGTAACGACATTCATGAGGCTCCAGCAGGGCAGCAAAGACCCAGCCCTGCCAGCAGGGCAGCCCGTCCTGGAACCACCTCCTCGCCTGTCTCCTTGTTTCAGGTCACAAAAGGTCCCTGAGCCACCGGAAAGGGCCCTCCTCCCCACTTGAGAGACAGCAAAGGGGATGCATTCCCTGCCCCTGAGGGGCTCTCTGCCAGAATCCCGTGGAGGGGAAACAAGAGAGGCCTCAAGGACTTTCATGCAAAACAGAGAAAAAAAATCTGGTGAGGACAGTGCAAGGTGAGGAGGGGGCAGGCGAGAAAGAGCACAAGCGGCAGCTTTCGTGGGGAGGGAGTGAGGTGTGGCTTCATGAGGGTCAGCTTTTGAAAGGGGTTCTGAAAGATCAGTAGGTGTTCATTCAGGGTGAGGAAGCCGGGACAGAGGGAACAGCATGAACAAAGGCTCAGAGGAAGGAGAGAGGCACTTGGATTGGCAGCACAAAGGACACAGGTGGAGGAGACGTGGGTGACAGGGCCAGAGAGGCTGCGCCCACTCACGTGCTTGGCAAAGGAAGTGGCCTTTGCTTCTGGTGGCCGTGAGCAGCCACGGAAGGTACGAGTGATCTGCAGCGGTGGGTGGTAGGGATTCGAACAGCGTTTAGGGAACTCTGAAGACTGCAAAGGCTGACAGAGACCAAATGGTGGGAGAGTGTGAGGAATGGGGCACTAACGACGGGTGACAGCGGTCAAGTGTAACAGGGTCTCCTGAAGGGGGAGGAGATGGGCAAGGGGAATATCTGTGTTCAGCACCCCCTGACATTCCCGTTCGCTCTACACCAGCTGCAAGGTCCCCCCACCCCGAATCTTACCAGGACGCAACTCAGGGCACCCCAGGCCACTACAAATACAATGGTCCATTCAGTTCCCGAGGGCCTGGAACCCCAAGTCTCTATCTGCTCTTGGAGGAAGAATATTATCAGTGTCCAGGAGAGCGAGACAATGACAAACAGTGGTTCCCTGTGGAGGGAAACCCTGAGAACATGTTCTCACCAAAACCACCAGTTCTCAGAGCACTGGGCCTGGCCCTGTGGGTCACCCCTGGGGCCACAGCAGGAAGACCTGTCCCACGACCCGAGCCCACGCTCTCTACCTGACAGTTAGGGTGATCAAGACAGGGCCGGCTGACCTCTGCAGTCTCACTGCTCAGCTGCCCAGCACAACTTTCCTCTCCAGTAACGGCTTCTTACTGGGCCCTGCTATGCTACTCCTTGGACACTTCCTGTCCATTCCACTCCATGGGGAAGCTCCCGCTCCCGTCCACATCCTAGCCAGCCTTAAGTCCAGTTCACATCCAGCCCCCTGCTTTTCCCGACCGTCCCAGGAAGGACCACCACTCCTCTGAACGCTGAAGGACTCGGCCACCCCGCAGTCTGTGCCCAGCACTGCACCATGGAATGTCACGGGTTTTTTCTCACGTGTTTCATGTTTCTAGCCCCACAGCTCCAGGCCAGAGTCCCTGAGGACAGACTGGTGCCACGATTCTCTGCCTCTTGAGCGCCAGCCCTCTGCCCGCGTCTAGAGCTCCCCACACAGTAAGTGAGGAATCAGTAAGCGTCTGCCCAGGGACCCATCTGTGCGGGCAGGCGGGGCCGCAGGGCAAGCTGTAGGGAAACACGGGCAAAGCCCCACGCTGCTGTACTGGTGACAAGGGGTGGCCTGCTCATCTACACCTAACCTGTTGGGTAAATCAGAACTGTACTTGGACGGGCCTAACCCCTAGTTTACTATTCAAGTTAGGAGGAACAAAGGGCACCACTACCAGGATCTCAAAACGCACACTGAGAAGGACCAGGTCCCCAGGGCCGTGGCTGGGGACAGATGCCGATGCCAGGATGTGACTTGACATGCGTTTGCCTAGGGCTGAACCAACCCCTTGGGGGTGCCCCAAAGAGCCCCCGTCAGCAGGACCTGGTCTCTCCACAGGGCACAGGCAGAGAGAAAAAGCAACTACAAAGGGAAGCAGAGGAAGTGAAGTTTGAAATCCGGGCGTCCCCAGTTCCAGGCTAGTGTCTCTTCAAAAGAACACCCCGTCTCCTCTTTCATCTCCACGTTGTGAGCCACAGCTGGGGGATCTCAACTAGTTCTGAAGTTAATATCTGGCCCAGATCACAAGTCCCGGTGACCTTTGCTGACGTTAGGGTCACACGCATCGCTGTTCTATGTCCCAGAGAAGAGATCGGCTTCTGCTTCATTTCTCTAAAAACTCTGGCTGACGAAGTATCCTCTAGAGATCGCTCAGAGCCTCCATTCTCAACTAGTCAGAGGTGTCGCAGGATGGCAGCGACACCCATTCCCCAGGAGGCACAACGCCCAATGCTGGCCAACTCCAAGCTCTCTACCCTGCTCTCAACTTCACCAAGTGCCACACCGACTACCTTGTCCCTGATTGCGAAGGAGCCACAGACAGGCCAGGATGTGTCTTTCACCCAAGGAGAACCTGGGGCCTCGTCTCAGCAACACAAATGAGACAGGAACGGGGCAGGGCACAACCTTTACAAGAATGCCATAGCCATTGAGGACACGACATAAACTGGTTAGAAACAGCTAGGTTCAAGATGGCAGATGACTGACTTCTACTAACCTTGAGCCTCAGTACAGCTTCACTGTAACACATCAGCAAGCTAAATGACACACCCACAGGCGCCATGTCAATTCCGAGGCGGACAGTAAAAGGCCAGAAGTGGGCGGTGGCTCCATTCCTGGAATAAGCCTCTCATTAGCCTATGAAATTACCCACCCCTATAAAAACTGACAATCCCATACCCTGGGGCCTCTCTCACCTTCCGAGATGGCTCACACTCTGTCTATGGAGTGTGTATCTCCCTGAATAAACCTTCTTTCAGTTTACTATGGCTCGCTCTTGAATTCTTTCCTGCATGAAGACAAGAACCCACAGTCGGCGGCCGTCCCAGGGACTCACCTGAGACCTGGGATGTGACCATCTTCTTGCGCCCCACTTTCTTTCTTGCAACAAAACCACAGCCCCGCACTGGGCCCCTCGGCCTCTGTAACGCAGCCCGGGGACAACCACAGGCTGCATGAGGACTGGGGAGCTGACCACTTCCCAGGAACACACTCTAAGTATTCCAGGGGTTGGTTATTCCTCACAGCAACCTCCTTCTGTAGTTATTATCATCTCATCATTTAGATTTGAAATAGAGCCTCAGGGAAACCAAGTCCCTTTCTTGAGGTCACAGAGGATCTGAACCTTGGCACCTACAAAGCCCAGGCCCCCTCAACTGTACACCAGTTCCTCCCGCCCATCTTCTTAAAGCACGTCAGCTGCAAAGTGCACACACCCAATTACAGAGGGTGCTTCCCTTGTGCAGAACTCAGGCCCCAACTGAAGTGCAGCTTTCTCCATGCATTTTTGCCTTACTACATGCTAGGTAATGTGGTGGATGCTTTACACGTGTTATCTCATTTAAACCTTAAAATAAGCCACAGAGCTAGGTACTATAATACCCATTTTACAGGTGGGGGGAAATGAGGCTCAGAGATGTTACGAAACATACAAGGTCACACAACTTATGGATGGGAGGTGCAGAAATCAAACTGAGATTTTTCTGACACCAGGTCTGAAATCTACCATGTTACATTATCCTCTCTTCAAACATCAAAGCTCCCACCTGTTGGATGCCTACTGGGTGCCAGGCACTTTACACACATTATTTCGTTTAGCCCTATCTCATTTCATGTGTTGATGTCCAAATGGCCCGGCCAGGAGGTGGCAGAGGTTTCTGCCATTGCACGCACATTCCTATGTCTTCAGAGGAGCCAGTCTTGGCTGTGGCTTTGTACTATTTTTAGAGAATTAAATAAAATAATGCACATAATTTGTTTTGTACTGCATATGCTCATGTAACAGTATTAGTGCAAAATCAGAATCAAACCGTGATGTTATACACACCTAACAAGATCATATTCATTCATTAACTGTTGACTGAGAACCTGCTTTGCTCCTGGCTCCAAGAAGGACAGAAAGATAATCCAGAGTTGTGTTTATTCCTATGCTGTAAAAATTCCAGCCTGGACTTCGGGCTGCCATTTTTTTCTTGACAAGTCCAATGAACCATCCCAGTTCTCTATGTGACATGCTGTAATCGGGCAACATATCCAGGCAGTGATTTCCCAAACAGAAGCTGGCAGGCAAACATCTCCTCCATCTGCTTTGCTGAGTATTTAAGTAACCTGGTTTCCACTTGCTCACTACTCTCCAGTAACTAAACAGGAAAAGCGGAACATCTGCCTCTGAGGAAAGGCCCAAGAGTTAGTTAAGTAGCAAAATATACTGAGCATCCACTGGGTATAATCAGTGGAAAAACTGTAAAGGAGACAGCAGGAGGCATGTTTGGATCTCAGGTGACAATAGACCACTGAATAAGTGCTTCCGTCAACTGTAACACAACCTACAGGCACTCTTATTTTTTAAAATTGAGATATTATTCACATGCCATAAATTCACTCTTTAAACATGTACAATTAATTCAGTGAGTTTTAGTATATTCACAAAGCTGTGCAAGTGTCACCACAATCAATTTTAGACTTTTTTTAATCATCTCCAGAAGAAAACCTGTACTCATTAGTAGTCACTCCCCATTTCCTCCCAATCCCCCTCCCCCAAGCCCTAGGCAACCACTGATCTACACTGTCTCTGTGGAGTTGCCTATGAATCCACACAAATGAAATGATACAATACATGGCCTTTTGTGACTGGCTTCTTTCACTTAGCATAATGTTTTCAAAGTGCAATTTTTTCTTAAGACGAGTTAACTGAGGCACAGAGAGGTTAAACCCAAGGTCACAAACTCAAATGCTTACAGGAGCCAAGAAGGAGACACAAGTAAGAAGGCCAAGGGAGGTAAGACAGGCTGTAGTGACCTACCCAACACAGGAAGCAAATTGGGGAGCCCATGTCCTGGCTGGGGGAAGAGGGTGGGCCCCTGGGTCCCCTACTGCTACATGGGAATGTGGGCCGCACAGAGCCATATCTTCCCATTCTGTAATAGAAGCCAGAAACCTGAACTTCACTGTGAAATTTCTTGATTTAAAATATCCTGCAATCCAGGCCAAACCAAACAAACAGGTCTGCCAGCAGGACACGGCCCCTGGCTGCCAGCCTGTGACCCCTGGGTGAAGCAATCTGCTGGGTGGAATACTGACCCACACTCCAAAATCTGCCTGAAGTCACTTGGTAATAAACAGTGTCTCCCTACAGAGGTGGCAGGCTCCAAAAGGCCAGGTCAAACTCAGCAGTTCAACCCTGATCTGATCACAGAGCCCCAGGGATCCTGGCTCCCCACGCCACCCGCCCCACCCTGCCTTCCCCAGCAGGCAGGGACTCATCCCTCAGGAGCTCTGATCCTGGAGCCCCTCCTTGGGCTTCGGTGTTCTCAGGGCACGGGGCCTGGACACCTCCATTTGCTGGCTTTAGGAACTCAAAGTTCAGGAACACCAGAGACTTGCCAGTGAGCCCATCCCTGGTCACCACGAAGGGCATCATCTCTCCCAGCCTGCAGTGAGGGCCCTGTCACCGCAGCGAGGGAGCACCCACCACACTTATCAGAACGCCTCCTGGCGTTTCTCCCCCACGCTAGACTCTCCCGGAGAGCAGGGCCTGGGGTCTCACCATTCCTGTCCTCGGGACTCATCAGGGACTATAACCCCTGACTCCAGGGCCCGCAAAACCTGCCACAGCCATTCTAAAATCTTAGCCTCAGGGCCTTATCCTTGAGAAAGCTGTGTGGGCGTGTTGGAGCCAGGCTGTGGGGTAAAGGCTCTCCAGGACTGTGCACAACAGGCTCACACATTTAGCCATCAGATCCTGGTCACTTAACACAACCCCGTCTTCAGAGTCTAGAGTCTGGGGTCCTTCAGTCGAGCCAAGCATCCGTCTCTGCGTTTTTAGTGTCTGAGAGGCCTGTCATCAAGATAAAACACCCTCCTCTTATTAGGAGTTTTAATCCCTCACTCCAGCACCCCATGCAGTACTGGTTCTGCCACTCGAGCAGACAGATGGTTTCCAGAAAACAGAAAGTGGCAGTTAAAACTACCATGGGGGTGTTCAAGTATGAAACTTATTAAGTATATGTTCTGCTTTCGGAAGGGAAAACAATTCATGTAGTGGGGAAGCCTTTTGAGACAGAAGAACCTGAGTTTTTAGATCCAGGTTCTAGCTGTGAAAGCTTGGGATGATTTCTTACCCTCAAGGAGCCTCTGTTTCCTCATCTGTGAAATGGGGTAACACTACCTAGCTCATAGGGCAGCTGCACAAAATAAATGAGATGAGGGATGTACAAGGGCCAAATCCTCCTCCCCGCAAATAAGGCAGACAGCGTTTTACACGTGATCACTTTTTAAAATGATCAATGGTATGGACTGAATTGTTCCACCCTGCCCCCTAATTCATACAACCCTGGTGGCAGTATTTGGAGAGAGGGCCTATAGGGAAGTAATTAAGGTTAAGTGAGGTCATATACGTGTGGCCCTGATCCAATAGGATCAGTGTCCTTATAAGCAGAGACACTAGAAAGCTCCCAGGTGAAGCACAAGTCCCTCTGTCCCTGATATCAAACAGGACACTCCTCATCCCAAACATGTCTGAAGAAGGCTCCAAACTGAGTGTAGAGTCTTCTAGGCCAGTGCTCCTCCAACTCTAATGTGCACCAGGGATCATGTTAAATATGCAGATTCTGATCCATAGGTTTGGGGTGAGGCTGGAGAATCTGTTCCTAGCAAGTCCCCAGGGGATCCTGATGCTGCTGGTCTGCGGGCTACACTTTTGAGTAGCGAGGTCCTTAGACTGCAATGTTATTTCCCTGCCAAAAATGTATGAACATTCATTCATTTAGATGCCAACCGTCAAATGCTGCCAGGCACTGTGCTAAATGCTGAGGATAAATAAAACAGGGTCTCTGCTCTTAAGGAGTTTATAGTCCAGTGAAGGCCCTAAGGGGTTTCCCTGATTCCACAAGCCAAGGGCAATGTCAAACACAAAATGGGGCTTCCCTGGTGGCGCAGTGGTTAAGAATCTGCCTGCTAATATGCAGGGGACACGGGTTCGAGCCCTGGTCTGGGAAGATCCCACATGCCGTGGAGCAACTAGGCCCGTGAGCCACAATTACTGAGCCTGCGTGTCTTAAGCCTGTGCTCTGCAACAAGGGAGGCCGTGATAGTCAGAGGCCCGCGCACAGCGATGAAGAGTGGCCCCCGCTTGCCGCAATTAGAGAAAGCCCTCGCACAGAAACGAAGACCCAACACAGCCATAAATAAATAAAATTAAAAACAAAATGATCCATGCTTTAAAAAAAAAAAAACACACACAAAATGAACCCCATTAAAGACAAAGCCCTTCCAGAACAGCCTGCAGAGTGAGAGCACTTACGCAAGATGTGTTGGAGGCAACAATAATGCTGAGATGAACACCTCTATTCAAGGACTCAACCGATGACTCAAGCTATGATAAAACTGAACATTCCTGAGAAACAGAGTGGGTGATGGACAAAACAGGTGTCACTGTAGCATCAGCTGGTAAAACCACGGATATGGAGCCAAGCCTATACATCAGCTCTGGGTCTCCTACTCATTATAGCAATACTTATCATTACGACTTGCTGGCACTGGTGAGAGTCAGGGTAACCACCACTAGTGGTGGGAAAAGAGAGCATTCAAGAAAGTGGTGCTTGATGAGAGAAGCAGCTAGGTGGTTCTGGACATACTGGATGTTAGAGCTGAATGTGAGGGTCCTCTTAGCAAAATCCAAACCATTTAGCCGAGGAGGAAACTAAAACCCAAAGCAGTTAAGGCAGTGGTTCTCAACCGGGGTGACTGTCCATCCCCATGGGACA